TGAACAGGTTACTAGTTACGAGAATTCTCGTAAGACAGAATACAAGGTCCCGCGATGATGGAATGTATCCTTTTATTTCTGCGCATGCGCGGTCTGGGTCACGTGATTTTTTTTATTTTTATGGAAAATACTGTCCTGATTAAGTGAAAACAGTTTGTTCTGTTATTGTACGAGAAACATTTTCCATGCGTGTCCCTTTGGATAATTTTGCATGAACTGTGGTGATGGGCTCTGGAACGCCATGTACTAACGATCGGATTATTGGACGGTCGCTTCGAATGTGGTATTTTCTGTCCGATATTCTCATGGTGTGTACCAGGCATAAGACCAATGACCAGAAGGGTGTAGTGATGAGTGAGAATGTTTCATTGTAATACATGGAGTGTATCCCATCCCCAGGTATCAGGCCTCCAGTGTGAGGCATTGTAATACATGGAGTGTATCCCATCCCCAGGTATCAGGCCTCCAGTGTGAGGATAGGACACAATGCAGCCCTCCATCCTCCACAATGAGACTATGTGGGGAGGACACGGATCGCCGTCTAGTGGAGGCTAAAGGTGAAGAACAGCCAAAAATTGTTTGGCTGTACTTCTCCTGTGGAGTGTTGTTTGTTCTGCACTCCTGTGATCCGTTCTCAGCAGATGGTGGGCTATAGCCTACTATCAGCTGACGTCGCAAAGCTGATCCAGGACCGGCACCTTGCTCAGCCTCTCATTGAGCCGCTCAGAGCCTGAGCTAGCCGCTCCCTCCACAGCCCGATACGTCAGTGACCCCTGGAAGAGCAGAGTGCAGGTGACCAGAGCGGCAGGGAGAACTGAGCGATCAGCGGTGTCTGATAGCTCAGGTCTCACCCTTAGAGATAGCTGGGGACAGATACAGCATCCACCACGGCAAGTATGATTTTATAAAAACAAAAACCATAATTCTCTTTTAATGCCCACTTTGAAAATGAACTTTTCTTTATAGTCAATGGAAACACAACTTGTTATTGGAAGGGTGTTTTTTTTTTTAATTACATTTTTCCCAGGTGACCAGGGATGGAAACCATGTACAAAACACATTGTGTGTTGCATTAAAAACATGCTATTCGATTTAAAAACTGCATATCGCATTCTAACATGGGTGTGAGCAGGCCCTAATGCCTAGTACACATGATGAGAATATTGGATGAATGATTGTGTCTTTTTCTGCATGCTAGTCTCATACCGACAATGAACAGGTTACTAGTTACGAGAATCCTCGTATGACAGAATACAAGGTCCCGCGATGATGGAATGCATCCCTTTATTTCTGCGCATGCGCAGTCTGGGTCACGTGATTGTTTTTTTTTTTTACCTTTTTATGGATACTGTCCTGATTAAGTGAAAACAGTTTGTTCCGTTATTGTACGAGAAACATTTTCCATGTGTCCCTTTGGATAATTTTGCATGAACTGTGGTGATGGGCTCTGGAACGCCATGTACTAACGATCGGATTATCGGACGATCGCTTGGCATGCAGTATTTTCCGTCTGATATTCTCGCAGGGTGTACCGGGCATAAGACCAATGACTGGAAGGATGTAGTGATGAGTGAGAATGTTTCATTGTAATACATGGAGTGTATCCCATCCCCAGGTATCAAGCCTCCAGTGTGAGGCATTGTAATACATGGTGTGTATCCCATCCCCAGGTATCAAGCCTCCAGTGTGAGGCATTGTAATCCCCAGGTATCATGTGAGTGTAATACATGGAGTGTATCCCATCCCCAGGTATCAGGCCTCCAGTGTGAGGATAGGACACAATGCAGCCCTCCATCCTCCACAATGAGACTACGTGGGGAGGACACGGATCGCCGTCTAGTGGAGGCTGATGACTGCCATCCCCCTCCCCCAGCACTCAGATTGGTCCTATAGCCGGCCTCCTATACGAACAGATGTGCAGTGTGGGGCAGCACACGGAGCACACAATGGCCGGATCCTCTCCACACATCACATCGGAGGAGGGAGCTCCGATCACACTTCATACCGACACCCGGAACACACACCATCCCCCGCCTCCCATACACATCACACGGATCGCACACAGCCGGCCTCGGATACAGCCGGCCCGGCACACAGCGCTACCTGAGGCCTGTGCGTCACCTCCTGCCGCCCCGGGGACACAGTGCTACGGGAGCAGGACGGCGGCCTCCCATCAGCGGGGTGTGAAGACTTCTCACCTGGGGCTCGCTGTACCGACACCTCCAACGATACGAAAGGGGCAGCTTCTCCCGGCAGCAGCGTGAATGGCGGTTAACAGCGGGGAGCTGCTGGAGTGGAGTGGGATGAGGGGCGGAAGTGATGTCAGGGAGACGGGAGGAAGTAGGCGGAGCGGATCACAGAGCGAAGGAGAGGGGAGTGTGTGGGAGAGGAAAGGAGAGGGTTAGGGAGTGTGAGGCTGGCCGTCAATGAATGAATGAGAAAAAGGGAGGGAGGGGGAGCTTCAGTGAGCCGTGTGCCGGGTATAGTGAGGTGCAGAGAGACGGTGTCTGGGTGTAATGGGGCACACCGAGCCATGTGTTGGGTATAATGAGGTGTAATGAGCCATGTGTCGGGTATAATGGGGACCAGTGAGATGTGTGCGGGATATAATGGAGTCCTGATTTGACGTCAGGTATATTGGGGTACAGTGAGCCATGTGTAAGATGTGAGGTGCGGAGAGATGTGTAATGGGGCACACTGAGCCACGTGGTGTGGATTTATTGAGGTGTAGTGAGCCATGTGTCGGGTATAATGGGGTGTAGTGAGCCATGTGTCGGTATAATGGGGTGTAGTGAGCTATGTGTCGGTATAATGGGGTGTAGTGAGCTATGTGTCGGTATAATGGGGTGTAGTGAGCTATGTGTCGGTATAATGGGGTGTAGTGAGCCATGTGTCAGGTATAATGGGGTGTAGTGAGCCATGTGTCGGTATAATGGGGTGTAGGGAGCCATGTGTCAGGTATAATGGGGTGTAGGGAGCCATGTGTCAGGTATAATGGGGTGTAGGGAGCCATGTGTCAGGTATAATGGGGTGTAGGGAGCCATGTGTCAGGTATAATGGGGTGTAGGGAGCCATGTGTCAGGTATAATGGGGTGTAGGGAGCCATGTGTCAGGTATAATGGGGTGTAGGGAGCCATGTGTCAGGTATAATGGGGTGTAGGGAGCCATGTGTCAGGTATAATGGGGTGTAGGGAGCCATGTGTCAGGTATAATGGGGTGTAGGGAGCCATGTGTCAGGTATAATGGGGTGTAGGGAGCCATGTGTCGGTATAATGGGGTGTAGGGAGCCATGTGTCGGTATAATGGGGTGTAGTGAGCCATGTGTCAGGTATAATGGGGTGTAGTGAGCCATGTGTCGGTATAATGGGGTGTAGTGAGCTATGTGTCGAGTATAATGGGGTGTAGGGAGCCATGTGTCGTGTATAATGGGTTGCTGAGAGACGTTTTCTTGGTATAATGGGGAGCATTTAGATGTTTGCTGGGTATAATGGGGGGTAAAGTGAGCCATGTGTTGGGTATAATGGGGTACAGTGAGCCATGACGTCAGGTATAATGGGGTACAGTGAGCCATGTGTTGGGTATAATGAAGTACAGTGAGCCATGTGTTGGGTATAATGGAGTACAGTGAGCCATGTGTAAGGTATAATGAGGTGCAGTGAGCCATGTGTCTGGTGTAATGAGTTGCTGAGAGACGTTTGCTGGGTATAATGGGGTACAGTGAGCCATGTGTTGGGTATAACGGGTTGCAGGGAGATGTTTGTTGGGTATAATGTAGTGCAGTGGGATGTTTTCATGCTATAATGGGGTACAGTGAACTATGTGTCGGGTGTAGTAAAGACATTTGCTGGGTATAATGGTGTACTGTGAGATGTGTGTTGGGTATAAATGGGTTGCATAGATGTGTGCTGGGTATAATGGGGTGCAGTGAGCTATGTGTTGGGTATAGTGGTGTTTTGCGAAGTATAATGGGGTACAGTAAGCCTTGTGTTGGGCATAATTGGATCCAGTGAGACATGTGCTGGGTATAATGGGGTGCAGTGAGCACCATGCTGATGTCCCTCCTTATTGTCCTACCTCTACAGGGGTTATCCTCCTTTCAGTTTATTATGAATGCTGCGAGACTTCTCCATCTTACTACTGCTCGGTGTCTGCCTCTCTTCTCTGCCAAACCTTCCACTGGCTTCCACCTGCCAATGCATAAAATTCAAAATACTACAACAAAGCCATCCACAACTTGGCCCCCAGCTACATTACCAACCTTTTCTCAGGATATCACTCAAAAGGTCCTCTTTTCTCCTTCCAAGACGTTCTGCTCTCTAGCTCCCTTATCAACCCCCATACTTGTCTCCAGGGTTTTTTAAGAGCTTTTGCCATGCTTTGGAACTCCTTACTCCAATACATTCAGCTATTTTCTACTCTGTCTTCAGGCAGTCTTTGAAAAGTATCTTCGGGAAATCTCATCCCACCTCTACATATCCACTGGAATTTTACTTTCTCCATCAATGCATTCCCCCACAGTATTTACCTTTTGTATCACTTGCCTCTCCCTAATCGATTGTAAACTCTGAAAGGCAGGACCCTCTGAACTCTCTTGCCTTGGAATGTATTTCAACTACCTTAATTTTGTAAAGCCGTGCGTAATCTGTTGCTGATTTATACATTTTGTATAATGATATTGAGGGAGTACATTAAGATTTGTATTGGGTTTAAAACAGTTTGAAGGTTCAAATTCTTTTTTACTAAAATAAAAAAGATGACATATTTCCCTACTCTGGATCCACTGGGCGGGTGAATATTTAAAATGATTATAATCCCCAAACTTGAAACTGCTCTGAAAATCTAATAGGGTGGGGAACCGCTTTAACCAGCACAAAAGGAATAAGCATGGTTTTCCACACACACTACATTGCCAAAAATATTTGGACACCCCTCCAAATCATTGGATTCCGGTGTTCCAATCACCTCCATGGCCACAGGTGTATAAAATCAAGCACCTAGGCATGCAGACTGCTTCTACAAACATTCATGAAAGAATGGGTCGCTCTCAGGAGCTCTGAATTCAAGTGTGGTACCATGATAGGTTGTCACCTGTGCAATATGTCCACCTGTGAAATTTCCTTGCTACTAAATATTCTACAGTCAACTGTTAGTGATATTTTAACAAAGTGGAAGCAACTGGGAACAGCAGAAACTCAGCCACAAAGCAGTAGGCCACATAAAATGACAGAGCAGGGTCAACTCTTGCTGAGGTGCGCAGAAGTTGCAAACTGCAGAGTCAATAAAGACCTCCAAACTTTGTGTGGCCTTCAGACTAGCACAACAGTGTGTAGAGAGCTTCGTGGAATGGGTTTCCATGACCGAACAGCTGCATCCAACCAAATGCAGTGGTGTAAAGCACGCTGCCACTGGACTCTAGAGCAGTGGAGACGTGTTCTCTACAGTGACGAATCCCGCTTCTCTGGCAATCAGATGGACATGTCTGGGTTTGGCTGTAACCAGGAGAACGGTACTTGCCCGACTGCATTGTTCCAAGTGTAAATATTGCTGGAAGGGGGATTATGGTGTGGGGTTGTTTTTCATGGGTTGGGATAAGCCCCTTGGTTCCAGTAAAGGGAACTCTTAAGGCGTTAGCATACCAAGACATTTTGGACAATTTCATGCTCCCAGCTTTGTGGGAACAGTTTGGGGATGGTCCCTTTCTGTTCTAACATGAGTGCACAAAGTGAGGTCCAAAAAGACATGGATGAGCAAGTTTGGGGTGGAGGAACTTGACTGGCCTGCACAGAGTCCTGACCTCAACGCGATAGAACACCTTTGGGATGAATTAGAGTGGAGACTGTGAGCCAGGCCTTCTCGTCCGACATCAATGCCTGACCTTAAAAATGCGCTTCTGGAAGAATGGTCAAACATTCCCATAGACACACTCCTAAACTTTGTGGACAGCCTTCCCAGAAGAGTTGAAGCTGGTATAGCTGCAAAGGGTGGGCCATGTGACTCGTAGCTCCTGAATCAACACACCATGCCTGAGATGAGGTGCAACTTTTGGATTGAAAAACATTCATTATCTGAAGAAAAATCCTTTTTCTTTCTTCCTTCACACTTTTGGCCTTTTGTAGTTTAGTTTGTTTTTGCATTCTAGCTTTCTAGATTCTGATATCTGCTTTTAAATGACCTTGTCTCTTGCACACAAAATATTCACGTTTTACGTTTATATTCATCCATAAGCTTGTCCTTAACATATTTTATTGTCAATAGTACAAGTAAAAGTAATAGTGCTGCGACATTAAAATCTTTTATTTCTTCTATAACTTTCAGGTGTTCAACCATTTCCAAGGTGTGCCTTGTGTAATCCTGCATATTACTTTACATCAGTGTGGTTTGCTATAATTTTTTAATCAAGTACAGTTTATTTCTGGGATTAGCTCTTTTCATGCACCTTTTGTATCATTCCAACATTTCTTTAGCATTTTCACAATTACATCTATAATTTGATCATCTTCTATGCTGCAAGATCTTGTGCTCTGAGTTTTCTGATGTTTCTCTATTAATCTGAAGGGTGTTCTGCCCTGACTTCATTTATACATTTCCATGTACCTTCTCTTATTAGCAGCATTTTCATCTGCTTTGTCAGGATTGCAAATTAAATTTTGTTGCAGCTGTGTTACTGGCCATTCTGCTGCAGTCTTCTTTCTGTTATATCTTGAACTAATGTGCTGTAGCTGGCTATGTCTGGGTGGGTGTCTGAGAGGATTCTTGTGCTTCTGAGCCCATAACCTGTTGGGGATTTCTGTATATAGCCCTACAGAACAGACCGAGCACAGTCCACATGTGTTTTTCTCCTGCTTCTCTGCAAACAGGAACTTTATTGTAGAGAAAAGACTTAGAGTTTATCATAGATGCAGCTACAAACTTATAAACACTGACATCTACGGGCTGGAGAATATATCTCTACTGAATACTGACACGGATGTAATACATGAACAATGTATTCCAACACAAACACCGAACAGAGCAAAATAATCACATACAGCTACAATGATTACAGTGAGTCCAGAAACAAATTTACCTAACCTAGCACTTATCTAGGAGGGTGCAGCACTGTCATAAGCACGTGCATCATGGCTGAGTAAATTTAAGTCTGGTAAGAAAATAATAATGTCAGTTGTGGATGGAGTATATATGCCGCATAGGATGTTGCGTACCATAAGGTAAATGGATGGCGGTGAGAGGCTTGAAGCAGGAGGCAGGGAGTTGGGGAGCAAGGTGACCACACCTTGCTCCCCACCTGGGGTAAAATTTGTCTTTTCCTGGGTTAATTTGGGTTGGTGCATAGACAGGAAACAAGCAGGCTATGTGGTAATGTCTACAGGACTGAAGCAGACCCAACAAGGTCTACTAGCCAGGAGGCATAACAGCTGTTTTCTGAATCTTTGTTCTGGATATTTACCCCTATGTGTGCAATCTATCTTATGTTGGACATTTGTTTTATTTTTGCCTTTTCATAAACGTGGGCAGGAAGCCCTTAGCCTACACGAGGCTGGACTGACCTCTGTGCAAGCTCCACTTGAAGCTGAACCCCACAATTGGTGTTTTGGATGCAGGCAATCCCTCTACTGATCCTTGCTGAAAGGCAAATTTGCTGGTTATGCTGTATACCTGATGTTAAAACTGTATTGAAGGAAGCTGTGTGAACGTTTGTTGCAGATGTGTTTAAAAAGTTAAAGGAGCAGGGCACTGCAGTGTATTTGTGAATCTGCAGCATGGAGGACTTGATAAAGGCCTTTCTCCAAAGTAATGCTGCAGAGCAACAGGCTTCTGAGTAAGCTGCAGCACAACAACAGGAAACCAATAAAATACTGGATGCCCAGTAGCAGCTAGCTGCTGCACAAGAGACCATTAGACCGTTGGCTGCCCAGATGGCGAGCACGGAAGCTCAAGTGACTGCATTGGCTTACACAGCTGGGGTTCAAGTAACTGCCCTGGCTCAGGCAACAGAGGCTCAAGTGAATGCTTTGGTTCAGGCAGCCGAGAAAGAACAAGCCCTACAGAAGTCCTCCAGTGGCTTCCACCCCAGACTGCGAGTGTTTCCACTGGGTTCCCTGGTGACACCCTGCCAAGCATCAAGGGCCACCTTCTGCAAAAAAAATGACATCGCAGGATGATAGGCCTTCTTATGTACTTTTGAGAGAACCGCTGAGGGGCAGGCCAAGCCTAAAGACCATTCGGCTGCACTAGTAACACCACTATTAACAAGAGACTCCCAAAAGGCATATATCGACTTGTCCTCAGAGGATGCCCGAGATTCTGACAAACTAAAATCTGAAATCTTGCAGCATCTGGTGGTCACAACTGCAGCGAGTGCGCAGCTGGAGTTTTAAGGCAGATGGATCCCCCAACCCCCAAATGTATGACCTAATCAACCTAGTCAAATGGTGGCTGCAGCCTAAAATACAGTGCCCCAAATAGCAGAGAGAGTTGCGATGAACAGTTTTCTGAGAGCTTTACCTCCTGAGTTGCAGAAGTGGGTGAGGCAAGCTGTTCTAAGTTCAAAGGATGAGCTGGTGGAATGCTACCTAACTGCAGAGGACTTTGTTGCGAGGTCTATGGGGTCAAAAGCAACACTACTACAGTGTGGTTACAGAAAATACTATTTTCACATTAAACCTGTGAAAGAGGAACCATAGCATGATTTACAGATTTATATGTAGTTGGGTTGCAGTGATTCACATTTGTCACCCTTTTGAAAATAATTAACCTCTTGCTGACAACACAATGCATATGTGCAGTGGCAGGGAGGGTGGTCCATAGCTCCTAATCATGTCTATAGCCACTCTGCTTAAATCAGAGCATTTAACCTGGGAGAGCTAACTTTGGTGCCTACATTCGAGAGTACATTTCTGTCAGAGCCTTATAGGAAAATCAGTGATGTTAACTACCATTTATACCAAGTGAAAGCCCTCCAAATATACCATGTTAAACTGAAATAAAACTTTGGAAGGATCCAGAGGCTGCCTCATTAGAAAGTGACTCCAGAAAAATTAATAAAAGTTAGGATGCAAAAGACCCTGTCTGCTACTTGGAATCAAAAGTTGATGCAGTTCTTGCAATATATATATATATATATATATATATATATATATATATATATATATATACAATTTGTGTTCAAAATAATAGCAGTCAAGACATCACTAACCTGATCACTGTCTTTGGTAGAAATTATATTTCTACATGGCGATTAATTTACTAGCAGGTGTAGTAGAGTAATAGAAATCCAACAGTCATGACATGCATGCCGCTGATTCTGTGTAAACGAATCACTGATTGAAAGGGGCATGTTCCAAATAATAGCAGTGTGGAGTTCTATTAGTGAGGTCATTCATTCTTTGAAAAACAGGTGGCAATTATTACCCTTATTTAACCATTTGGCGCCCGCCCTATTGTCGAATGGCGACCAGCAAATGTCATCAGCGTTCAGGGTGCGCTGACCGATGACAGATCTGAATATCTGCCCCCGTTGCTGGTACCATGTGACCTGCTGTGACCAATCACAGCAGGTCACATGACAGTTGCATACAATGGATGGCTTCATTCATTCCATCCATTGTATACTAGTGTCTAGCTGTGAATGGTCACAGCTAATCACATGCACATGTCATGTGATTAGCTGTGGCCAAATCACAGCTAAGCACAAAAAAAAAAAAAACCCCTGAATGAATCGATGTCATTCAGGTAAATGCTTGCTTATAGCAAAGTAATTCTTTGCTATAAGCAAATTGTGTAAAAAAAAAAAAAAAATACTGATCACTTTCCCAAAGTAGTACAATGTTACTATGATAACATTGTACTACTTTGGTCATAGTGAAATATGAAAAAAAAAAAAAAAATCTTAAAAGAAAAAAAAAATTTAATAAAAAAAAAAATTTTTTTTTTTTTTTTCATACTGTCACCAGTCAGTGTCTCTGATCACCGCCATGCCAGTTATATGACAACGCTGTACTGCACTGGTGACAGTATGTATAAAAAAAAAAAAATAGTGAAAATTTTTTATAATTTTTTTCATTTTCCGAACAATTATGACAAAAAAATACAACTTCAAAAAACTCGCCATGCCTCTTATGAAGTACATCGGACTGTCTACTTTGCAAAAAGGGGTCATTTGGGGATATCTGTACTATTCTGACATTCTTGGACCTCAAGAAATTAGATTGGCTGTCAGTACTTCAGGATTGATCAATATTCAGATCTATACCATAGTTTGTGAACTCTATAACTTTTCTACAAACTAAAAAATACATCCTAATTTGGGTTATTTTCACCAAAGACATGTAGCATAATATATCTCGGCCTAAATTGATGAAGAACAATTATTTATTTGC